CATTAGTAGTGAGAAACACTGAGTATCTGTTAGATTATTCCTTTAGAATTTAAAGCAGAAATTGTAAATAGCCAACATGTGGCTGGACTTTCTTTTGTGTTTTCTTAGAACATGTGTAAATTCTCCAGAGTAGATATTCAAATCAATAAATTGAAAATAAGGAGAAATTTTCATAAAGAGAAACAAGTTATATTACTTGTAACTAGTAAGATTACATTTACTAGTCATAAACTTCAGTAATTTATTATTTGTTTTAGAATGATAAAATATATTTACTGTTGTCCACATGACATAGACAATGTCCAATATTGTTTTTTAATCAAAAGAACAATTAACAGAAATAACTATATCACTAAAAGCTTGAGTTATAAAGTGTTTCTGAATATTAAAAAATTGGATTACCTGCCACTTTGTTTCTAAAATACTCCCAGCTACAGGATAAAGAAAATTGATGAAAACTGGATTTTTTCTGTTAACTTAGAGTTTTTTATTTACCAGTATAAAACAACATGTTAGATGTAAGCTATTTTTTAATCTATATCAAATTCGTATCAAGTGTTGGTATCTTTTTATTTTAAAACCAGGTTTCTTATATGAATGTTTTGCTATTTGTACTTGTTCAAATCTATAATTATTTTTGGAGTAGAACAGACCCATTGATACATGTTCAAGATAAGTAGTTTTTGATCCTTTTGTTATTTATAAGAAGGCCATATTGCATAATTTGAGAAATTCTTGATTAGCAGGTCATCTGAAAATCAGATGTGAGCCACGGTGGAAAAAAACTTTTCTATTTTATAATACCCTACTGCTCTAAAAATACATTTCATGATTTATTCATTAGAGAAGTCCTAATAGATTCTGGAAACATTATGGACTTTTTACATGACAGTGTTATGCATTATGGACAATACACTGAGATTCAGTTTTTCTGCTTTTTTTTTCCCCAAGCAGTAGAGCAGTAAGTAAAACTGACATTAGAGTAGGTGTTTCTAATACCTGTTCATCGGAATAACTCCTTAAAGTCTGTTTACTTAGAAAAAGAATCAGTTAATCAAAAAGTAGAAAAAAATCACATTTACGTGAAGAGGTTTCTTATTTTTCTCAGTAGATGGCAGCTTATAAATATTGAGTGAATTGCTTATACTATTCAATTAAGATTTGTTTCCAAGACCTTCCTTTGGATTATATCAGAATATACTGTCCAATTAATATTAGCTATTGTTCCTTATTATTTTCCCTATTTTATTATTCTTTCTATAACCATAAACCCAATTATGAATTAAGATATCTCTGCTATTGATGTATATCATATTTATCAGCTTTTCCTGTATTATTAATTCAAGTCATTGCTTACATTTAATGGTGAAATTTTTTTTTTTTTTTTTTGTGGTACGCGGGCCTCTCACTGCTGTGGCCCCTCCCGTTGTGGAGCACAGGCTCCGGACGCGCAGGCTCAGCCGCCATGGCTCACGGGCCCAGCCGCTCCGCGGCATGTGGGATCTTCCCGGACCGGGGCATGAACCCGCGTCCCCTATAATGGCAGGCGGACTCTCAACCACTGTGCCACCAGGGAAGCCCTAATTTTTTTATAATACAAAGAATTTTTAACTTCCTTGGCTTTAATATAATATTAGTGGTTATATTTGTTTCAAAGGTAAAAGTAACTAATATACTATTAATCAATTGCTTTGCTATCATTTTTATATCTGAATCATTGCCAATTATTAAAATTAATTTTAGTCTATCTGTAAATCCTGGCATATCGTCATTGAGTATTCTGAAAGTTTAGTAAAATTAATTGCTTTTTAGTAACTGGAATTACAAATTAATTGTAAATGCATTGGTAAGCATGTAATTATAGATAAAATTAATAACATCTTGAAAACCATAGTCATGTTGGGGTTAACACTTTGATGAAGAGAATATGTAAGTGATATTGTATTTTTCTTGTTACTGGTAACCTCTTTTGAGATATTGTTTATACTGGTAGTAATCCAGAAAGGAAATGAAATATTAAAATCTATTAATCTAATTAGCTATTAGCTTCTACTACAGTCTCTTAAAAGACCTGGGAAGTTTTTTTAAAGTTTGATATTCAAGACTTTTTTGCCATGAGTTTATTCATCTTTACCAAACTTTTGTGTCCTTGTCTTTATGAGAAACACACTTGGAAAATAAAGTGGTAAATTTTAAACTTCAATTATACATGCATGGTTTTTTTTAAATCACAGCATCATTGTAAATGGCATAGCTCAACTCTTTAATAAGGTCAGTTAATGCCACCTCAAAATATTATTTCAATATTTCTTACTTTGAATTTTGTTAAACAAAACTGTCTTGATTTTGTTTAATCTCTGGAATTAATTTTACTTTAAGAGCATAAAGCTCCAAAAAGCTAGTGTGGAAATTTTCATTATTCTATTTTACTATAATTAGAATGGGTTATTTTTAACATTTAAATGTTTTCCACTTCTGAAAAGCCAGTTTTAACCTCCTTCAGCTAAGAAAATCGCTTTAAAATCTGTTCTCATTTCTATTGTTTTCTTTCATTTTATTGATGAGTAAAAGTTTTTTAGGAGAAAAAGATTTATAATGCCAGTAATTCTTCAGAAGGGCCAAGAGGTATGTGCTAAAAGCCTCAGTCATTCCTTAAGAGTCACTGATTTGTGTAATCACAGATTAAAATGTGATAGTGTTTTTTTACTTTGCCAATATCAAACTGTCATAATGTCACATTTTCATAGGGTCATGAAACATGCTAGTAAATGTTTTAATGATCAACTTGATTTTTAGGTTTGACAGTTTTCATGATGTGAACCCCCCTTTAGAGCACATATTGGCAAAATGGCTTAAGGTGGTATATGTTCTAGTTTCAGCACAGGAAAGTATATAAAACAGTGTGTTCAACTTCTGTCAGTATGTGTCCATATGGCATAAAGAGCAAGCCTGCTTTAAAATTTCAGCCAGTAGTATTGGGAACAGCAATGTCTTGCCTTTCTCATTTTTTGAAGAATTTTTAAAGTAATTGGACCCAGAGGTACAAAGCCACTATATTTGCTATATTAAATTTGCTCCTCTCAGAAAGTTGAGAATCACTGTCTTATTTTAAAATCTGCTTCAAGTAAAATGGAGCCAAATTGTTTCTGAATTCTCATTATCACCTTTTTTAAACACAGCACTGTCCTTCACACAGGAACTTCTGATTTTATGTCTTTTAATTAATCTGTGGGCTAAAGGCTTTTGTGTGACAGGTCAGAATGTTAAATTTTCTTAAAATAATCCAATTTTTTTACAAGTAGCAAATCCTCTATTTGGACACTTCTTTAAAACTTTATGAGATCATTAACTCTTGATTATTCGAGTCAGTTTTAAAATTCTTATTAGGGTAAAATATATAGGTATTGTTTATGAATTCCATTTTAATCGAACCTACTCCCCCATGGACTTTTTATTCAGCTTGCAATTTATATAAACTTAGGGGAACCAGAAGTAGATTTTTAGAAAATAAAAGACATTTTGCCTTCTTCCCAACCTAGGGTCATATTTCAGATTAACAATTTGAACTGATAACCTTCTCCATGGCTGTCCCCCAGTAAAATTGTGAACTAGGTAAAATTTGTCTGGAATCCCATTTTCCTCTTTCTTTTACTCTCCTGTTCCTGAGCAAAGTTCATTGTCAGTCTCCATGATCACTAAATTACTTTGACTGTCTCTACTGTGGAGTTGCCTTGGTACAACAAAAAAGAGTACTGAATTTGGAGTCAAGAGATGAGATTCAGGCCTGGCTCTCCCACCTCATAAGGCATACTAGTTTTATGCAATTATCCACATCACACACACAGTGCTGACATACAGCTGGGATGCATCGGTTCAATGGTTCAGTTTTTAAAATATGAAATACTCTCCTAGCTGTTAGTACGTAGTTGCTACTCCAGGTCCCCTAGATGCCCTTACTGAGATCCTTCCTGTCCCCGTTTCTCCTGAATCCAGTAGCTAAAGGTTTAAGGCCTGGCTGCCGGCCATCTTAGCCGGTCCCACCAAAGTCCTGCCTTGCAGTTTGCCAGAATACCTGCCCATGCCCGCCACCAAGGGAGGCCACAGGTAGGCACCAGCAGAGGGCTACTCCAGTATTTGCCAGCCCACTAGCCAGTCCCTAAAATAGTAACCATAATAAAAATAGAGGAAAAAAAATGTTTTTAAACCTTTTTAGTACATGTTTAAAATCCTTAAGCTGATTACTCTCTTTATTGATTTGTAAATCAGTAAATGCTGATTTACAATAAATGCTGACCTAAGCATTGCTCTTGCTGCACAACATATTTGAAACAAATTCCCTAACCTTCCCAAGTTGTCTTCATTGCCTTTCATTTAAAAAACCCAATCCTGGTAATTTTTAAAATTGCCAAACTGAATATATATCATTGATCGGTGTGTTCCATAGGATCTTTTATGCTAAATTTTAACCTGAAGCATCTTCAGTTTCTAAAAGTACTTGGTTAGAAGGGTGCAACTGAGTATAAGTGCCAGTATTTCTACTGCTGCAAAATAAAAAGAGAATTTAATTTAGTGACAAAGCTGATAGGTTTGTTTCTTTTACTTTCAACTAATGCCTTGTAGAGGACCAAATTTCATTCTCATCAAGGACAAACTTATTTGTAATCTGCAGTACATATTTCTATTAAGTACTCTGCATTTATTTCACATGTATGGTTTATTTTGTGGAATACAAGTAAAAAACATACAGTAGCTCGAAGTAAGAGATCAGTGGTGAAGATTGGAGCATTTTGTTAACTGTTGTTATCTTGACCTTTGTTTAAAGCTAGTGGTTATGTTTTTGTATAATGACACATCCCTAATGTGAATATTCAAACTAACGTTTGTTATTCTCCTTTCTCAAGAATGTTATCATGATCATGCCTTACAGAAATTTACTAAGAGCTGCACGTTGTTTAAAAGTGATTTCTTGGGTTTTTGTTTTTCCTGACTTATTTTCCTAGACTGATCCCGTTGAGAACACATATGTACGGAATCCGAACGTCAAGTTTTACATCCAGTCAAGGTCCACATCTCCTTCCACATCTAGTGAAGCTGAGCCAGTTAAGGTGCCTCACTGGAGCAGTCTTGCTCCCCAACTTTTCACTTGTGTCAGGAAAGAGGGACTTGCAAAAACAAGTGAAATCTGACTCTCTTCTTTTAATCAAATGTATTGTGTAATAAGTCACAGTATATTGAAGATCATTACATTTGACTGATAATATAGATAGGGTTATAAAACAAGTAAAAAATGGTCCCCCCAACTTCAACCCAAAATAGACAGAAATTTTATCTAATTTTAAAGTAGTCTCTATCTTAAGTAGAGAGCTATATAGAACAGAGGACAGAGTTGTGTGAATTTTGGAATTATCAGATAAAAACTCTGTGGACACATGGCAGTGTCAGGTGCCATTCTCATATTTTAATTCTTCTAATCAATCTAATAAGATATGACATAACTGTTACTTCATAAATAGAACTGAAAATTGCCACTGCTGGCAACTGAATAGTTTATTCTGTTAATCAGCAATAGGCATCCAACCTTTTAATATTTAAATCATGCCTTTTAATAGTGCAAAAACAGTGTTGTGTTTGCACCTTATGTAAGTAAATGGTTTAAAACAGCCAACTGGCCAACTTTCTCAACAAGTCAGAAGGATGTATTATTCCTCAGTTACTGCTGTCCTGCCTCAGATGCAGTTCTGGTTATTTACTCAAGCTTTACAATTCTGACATGGCTCCCTTGTTTCCCATTTGGTCATCAGACAGAGCTGTGTCTAGTTTCCCAATAGAAGCAGATAGTCCCATTTTGAAAGCTGTCTGAAGTGAAGTTTGAGGTGTAGTCAGATTCTGACTTGGTTTTTTCCAACCCTGTGATAGACTGCTTGGTTAAGTTGATGATACCCTCTGATTTTAGATTTTCATTGTTTTAATATTTTGAGTTTATGCATTTTTATTTTAATGTTAAAATATTTAGAGCATACAGAAAATAATATTCTAAATACCCACATAACCACCATCCACAGATTTAACATATATGAACATTTTGCCCCAAAATTTGTATTAAAAAGAAAGAAACCTTCCCTATAGCATTCCCCCCTCTCCTTTTCCAGACATATCTAAATACCCTGAAATTGGCATACTCCCTTTCTTCCTTACTTTTACATGTTTATTTCATTTGTATCCATAAACAGTACATAATAGTGTTTGTTGTATATTTAAATTTTACACAAAGGTTATCTGCATCTTATACAGATACATGTCTACTTAGTTCATTCATTATAACTGTTGCATAATATTTCATTGTATGAATATACCACAACTATTTATCCATTCTCCTGTTGTTGGATATTTAGGTTGTTTCCAGTTTTTTGTTATTACAGTCGTTGCTGAAGTGAACATCCTTATAGCTATCTGCTTTTGCAAATGTGCAGTTTGTTCAGCATATATACCTAGAAGTGGAATTATTGGGTTGTGTGGAATATGCATTTTCAGCTTTAACTAGATCTTGTCAAATTATTTTCCACAGTGGTTGGACCCGTTTTCACTCCCACCAGCAGTGTGTGTGTGAGTGAATTCCCTGTTTCCCCACATCCTTCCAACCCTTGGTACTGTCAGACATTAACTTTTGTCTATTTGATGGGTATAGAGTGGCATTTTTGTTTTAATTTGCATTTCTCTGATTTCAAGTGTTATTCAACATCTTTTTATATGTTTATTGACCATTGATGATTTGCCTGTTCATGTCTTTTTGTCTGTTGTTCTATTGAATTATTTTTCCACTTGTTTTGTAATTGTTCTTTATATATTCTGGATACTAATTCCTAGCTGGCTATATGCATTGCAAATATTTTCTTCCAGTCTGTGGCTTATTTTAAAATTTTATTTGTCGTATCTTTTTGTCTTGCAACAGTTTTTATTTTAAAGTAGTCATATTTGTCAGTCTTTTATGACTTCTGTTTTTTATGTCTTTTTAAAACAGTTCTTCCCTATGCAGGAGTTATAAAGATTTTCTTCCATATTTTCTTCTAAAAGTTTTTAAATTTTGCTTTTACATGTTTAGGACTTTAATCAAACTAAAATTTGTTGTTATGCATTATGAGAAATGGAGTTCTAATGTTTTTCTTGTATGAACCACCAACTCTCCTATATTTCCCCCATTGATTTGTAAATCTATCTCTGCTTTATATAAATGGGTCTGTTTGGGGATTCTCTATTCTCTTTCATTGTTCTTTCTGTCTGGGATTCTCTGTCTCTTTCATTGTTCTTTTTGTCTATTCCTGTACCGACATCACATTGTCTTAATTATTGTAGCCTTAAAATAATTCCTGATACCGGGTATGATCAGCCACTCCCACGTACCTTGTTCTTCTTCCTTTACTTCTTGACTCTTTAGTTTTTACATATGATTTTTAGGTTCAGCTTGTAGGTTCCATGTAAAGCTTTTGATTGGATTTGAATTTATAGATTATCTGAGGAGAACTGATCTCTTTGTGATATTGGGCCTTTCTATCTATGAACATTATTTAGATTTTTTTTATATCCTTCAATAAAGCTTCATTATTTTCTTCCCGAATGTACTCCAAATTGCTTGTTAGATTTGTTCCTGGGTACCTTAAATTTTTATTGCTGTGGTGAATGGGATCTCTTTAAAATATGTTTTCTAAATTAGGCATGGCTGGTCTTTATGAATTATGATGATCTTGGATTCAGCACCCCTGCTTCACGCCTTTTAATTATAAAAACTTCTCTTGGACTTTCTATGTAAATTCTAGTGACGGTTTTGTTTCCTATGAATTGTTCTTTATTAACTTTCATAAAGGTTTTGTATTCATCTCTTTTATTTCATATTTATTTTTTTAATGTTAAATTATAAATTGGATTGTATACTTTCTTCAAGCTATTTAAAAGTAAATTAAATTTAAATTAGAACTAAACTCATAGTTAAGTTGAAAACTCTGAGAAGCCCATCTAAATTCCATTTTAAGGCTATCATGTGTATAAAATATTTGGCTTTTGGAGGTTATATAGTAACAAAGGCAAAGAGGGACCATCCATTTCTCTCTTAATATTTTAGAATATTCTGTAACTTTACACAAAGCTAGCTTTTCCCTCTTGCTTGCTTGCTTGCTTTGCTTAGCATCCTAAAAGGAAGTCATTCTTCGTATATTTTTTTTACACTTTGCTAATAAATGATGTCTCTTTTTTTCCACAATAACATCCAGTAAAATCACTGGTTCCTTTCATTCAAAGAAATATCTTACAGTAATATGCCATAAAATAAAGATATGGCAAGTAATTAAATTTCTGTCAGTTCTGAATTCCAGTAATATTAAACAGTCTAACTCCGTTCTTAGAAATTACTTTCGTCACAAAAATCCCACTAATCAATCAGTCCACCAATCAGTCAATCTCTATATCTCGCACGCGCTCTCTCGCTCTTTCTCTCTACACACATACACACAAATCCACAGAATTGTATTCCATATATGTAATATGCATCCTGTATATGGAAGTCAAAGGAGTTAAAAGAATCTTCTAAATATTTTGATTATAAATCTTGCTTAAAAACTCTTTAAGATACTTTATACAATTAATATGGCATTTTCAGTTGAACTTGAAACTTAATATCCTAAATTTTATGTAGGCTACATGCTATGACTTTCCTGTGTTCTTCTATAGGTTCTCCTTTACAAGTTATTTATTTTTAAATTTCCAGACTGAAATAGTTTTTATAAATTGAACAAATATTTTATTTGTAGTTATTGCAGGCAGAAATTTAAATTATCAACACTAAGAATCTTAGCTTCATTGAGATAATTTTTCCTTATTGCTGTTTTGTTTGGCTGTATTTACTTTTATTTTTAGTGATGTTTGAAATAGATGGAGTGTTTTATGACATTTATTTCCTCTTTTCCCCTGGATTCAGACTGTAGACTATACTCCACTTCCAGTTCACACACCAACCTTAAAGAAAAAGGGATGCCCTGGTTCAACTGGCTTTCCACCTAAGGTATTCAATCTAGTGATAAGCATTGTATGTTGTGGAGAAAAAAAAAAAAAAAAGGAAAGAAAGAGAATGGATTTCTTCTGCTTTTTGTATGTGCCATGATTTTTACTACTAGATTCCTCAAAATTATAAACATAAAAGCTGGGAAAGATAATAAATTCTGTATGAGTGGAAATAATCACCACTAAGAAAGGTAGGACAAACATGCAAAGTTTGTTTTGTTTTGACTTCCATCTTCTTAAATTCAATGTTTTGAAGTCTGTTACAGCAAGGAGTAGTGTTTGGAGTGTGTACTGTAAGGAAGGCATTAAGTTGAGGCCACTTGTGGAAGAATCTAAAATTGAGCTTAATAAAACACTTAGAAATGTTTAGAGAAAAATTCAGATCATTTTTTTTTCATTCTATTCAACATGACCATGTCCAGAGTATTGTATATGGTAGAACATGAAGATTTAGTTGCTTATCTCAAGCTCCTACAAAGGAATTCTAGAAATTGGAACTCTCCATCCCCCGAACATGAACTTCGGGTAAACCCCAGAATTAGAGACAGATTGATGGATCTGAAAAACTAACAAAATATACCAAAGTATAACTGGTATAAAAGAAAGCCACAAACTGAATAATCTATGCTAGATAAAATTTTGAGGCTAGACAGAGCATGAATTTAAAATAAGCATAATAAATATGTTTAAAGAGGTAAGAAAGGAAGTAAGTTGGCAACATGGGTCAGGTTAAGGTACTTATAAAGAAAAAGAATTTCCAGCTGCTTGACATGAAAATGTAACTGTTGAAATAAAGAACTCAAGTAACTGGCTTTAATAGCAGAATGAGCAAACTGGATGTAGCAGAAAAACAAGTTGCGAGATGGAAGATGAGGTGGAAAATATGAAAGTTAAGCTATAAGACAGAAATAGTGTCTATCTATATAGTTGGACTTTCAAAAGAAAAGAAAAAACAGAGAGATGGAAATACTTAAAGAAATAATGACCTAATATTTCCCAGAAATAAAGATGGAAATCCTCATACTGAAATACATTATTATGTGCTAAAAAGAGGAGGTAAGAAAACATTCACACTTGGACACAGTATAGCAAAATTTAAGAATATCATAGATCAAGAGAAAATTCTAAAAACTTTCAAAGAGAAAGCAGATTATCTAAACAGAAGTCAAATTGATATTGGTCTTCTCAACAGTAACGAGATGCAAGAAGACAAGAAGTATGTTCAAAGTGTTGAAAGAAAAGAACTCTGAACCCTAAAATTCGTTCTGCTGATAGAAGTAAATAGCTAACAGGGTTAAAGGAAATTGCCCCTAGGAAGGACGACTTGGGGCAAAGGGGTTCTTCTGTTTTTGTTATAAGGATTGTGATACTATTTACTCTTAAAACTTTATACATGTATTAATTTCATTTTAAAAGTTAAACATACATATGAGAAAATGTAGAATTTCTTTGTGACTAGGTAATGAAAATAAGATCTCAAATCACAATCATAAGGTGAAAATATTGATGGACTTTATACATTAAAATTAAATATCTTTGTACATTGAAAACATTGTTAGTAGGTGGTTAATAAGTGATGACAGACTAGGAGAGAATATTTGCAGTGTTTAACACCAGTAAGGGATTCATTTCTAGAACACGGTATATAAGAAACTCCTGTAACTGCATGTGAAAAAGATTAGAAATCCAGTTGAAAATCTGGCAAATAATATGAGTAATTGCCATAAAAGGAAATCCTAATGGTCAGCAAGCATGTGAAGAAATGTCCAACCTTATTTATAATTGGTGAAATTAAAAATTAAAATAATTTAATAATTTTTAAATTAATACTACTTTATACTCACCAGTTTGTCAAAAATTAAGTAAGGTAGCATCAAGGATGTGAAGAAACACACAGCTTCACACACAGCTAGTGGAATTTTAAACAGGTACAACCATTCTGGAGAACAACCTTGCTACTGGAATAGACATACACCACATAACCCAGCAATCTCATTCCTTCAGAAAACTTTTTATGCAGATCCATTAGGCAAGATGACAGAGATGCTTAGTGCTGCATATGGTAACAGGGAGTTGGAAATAGAAGAAAGATAGGTAAAATATGGTTGATGTGTAACAAAATCACATTTATATAAATTAGCAACACTCAAAAATATCTAATTCGTAAGGCTGTGTACATATCCAAGGACCTGTGTAGATCACCTTAGATTGGATGACAGATTTCATGGGGAAGGATGGGGAGTAGATCATCAAGGATGAATTAAAAATAAAATAAGGCCAAATGCAAGACCAGTGTCAAGGATCTTAGTCCTTATGCTCTTGTCTAGGAGTTTTATGGACTCAGGTCCATGTTCAATCCTTACTCCATTTTGAGTTGATTTTTATGAGTGGTTTAAGATAGGGGTCCAGTTTAATAAATAAATAAATAAGGTCAAAATTAGAGGGGCCTCCATGAAGCTCTGGTAATAATATTTCATGGACTGAATATTAACTCAATCTTGTACACCTATTGTTCCTCCCCAAAAAATAAAATAAGATTTACTTCATGTTTTTTAAAAGATGAAGGATTGAATCTATAATTATCTCAAAGTAAAAGTGTTTAAAAGGGAAGAGGGTTATTTAGAAAAAAACCTTTAATAAAGGTTTGCTTGAGATAAAGACTCCTTGTCATTTATAGCGTAGAATCCTAATTATGTACAACTACTGATTTGTAAGTTTTCAAAAAGGGTTGCTTCTACTCTGTTCTCACATCTTTTATTAAAAGTATTTTACCTTCTCCATTGAGTAGCTTGAAGTCTGCAACACTGGCAAAATTGGAATAGAAAAGAACCCTTCTTTCTATCCACTTCTTTAAATTTCGAGATTATAGTTAATTCTCATTTTACTCCAAATTATCACATAATCTAAAATTAATTTGAGTTCATGCTTTAGGTTTAATGCCTCTTTTACTCGACATTTTTTTCTCCTCCTCCAACTACCTTTTGTGGAAGTATTAGAAATCAGGTATTGACCAGGAGACAAGAAAGGGGATCTTAGAAAGATCCAGAAGCCAACTGGTCTAGATCCTAGGGCTGAATTCGCCTATCTTTTTGTTACTATTCATCTTCCCCCCGCCCCACCGCCCCGCACCAAAAAGAAATAAAACCAAAAGCCTATTGTGTGTTGCCTAAAGTTTGATGCTCTCAGAATCATGTTAATTATGTTATGTATTATACTGTTCTTAGTTGGGATTAGTAAAACATGGACCATTTAATCTTCAGTAGTGAATCACGCCCACCTCCTACAATTTAACCAGCACCTGCCAGTTGATCATTTAAAATCAATGCTTTGGTAAAACATTGTTTATCTCTCCTACTATTGCATACTTAGTTAAAATTATGACATCCTGAGCAGATCTCTGGGGGAAAAAAGTATATAATAAATATGTTTTATAAGCAATTTTTAGATATTGTGATGTAATACTATTAAATTTGTCATGGGCATGGTTATTTTATTACTGTCATTTCAGACATGTCTTCTTATCTTTTAGAAGAAGAAAAACAGAACAGTTACTTACCTTGAGCCATTGACTAATTCTTTCATCGTAATAGAAGCCTTTAGAACCAATCAGTAACAAATTTTGCATTATTGCATTAATGTATTTTGAACAATTGAAAAAGCACTAGAAAATTTACTCTCATAGTTCCTGAAAGTTAAAAAAACTAAGAGTAAAAATTAGTATACAGGAGAAATGTTGAGCAAAATTTTATGTGATGTTAACAAATCAGGTATTTTTATCACAGGCATGAAGGCCTCTAGTCTTGACCTAAGTGTGTCTTATGCAGTCTGGTGGGGTTTTTTTTTAAGGATCATATTTTTCAGTTACATGTTTTTAAATTATCAAACTCTGAAAGATGGCAGAATCAGATCCGGGCTTGAATTTTAACTCTACCAATAACTGTCTATTCATGACTAATTTATTTAATCTCTCTGAGTTTCAGTTTCTTCATCTATATAAAGAAATAATACCTATCTTCCCAGAGGCATTGTCTCCATTAAATGAGATGGTTGAGAAGTACTGGCACAATGTCTGCACCTTGGTTGTTGCTCAGTCCACACACAGCAATTATAGAGCCAGTGGAAAGATAGTCTGTCCTCTACTTAGAATAAAGTCACATCCCAGTGCTGCTTTGCAACTGACCAAAGGTCCTGAGGAACTTCTAGAATAGAATGGTTTGAGGTTGGACCAGAGTTCATGACTGCTCTAAATTTGAGGATCTCATTCCATTCCAGGACCCTAATATAAAAAGATGATCTACTTTTCTATGCTTGATTTTTTTAAAAATTTCTTTTGTGGTATGTAAATATATCCCAGTTGAGAAGAGCAAAATTTATTTTTAACTTAAATTTTAAAGCTTTGAATATTCTCTTTAGTTTTTTGTTAATATGGTAAATTTCAACTGAAATAATACTACTTTAAAACTGTTTTCCATCAGTATTCCCATGTTACCAGAATACAGGATAAAGTTTTTACTAGTTTAAATCAACCACACATATAAAAAAGAAATAATTAGCCAAATTTGTTTTCAGAATATGTTTTATAAATATGTTTATATTTATAACATACATATGTAAATATGTTTTGAATGCTTACTCTGTGCCAGCACTGTTCAAAAGGCTTTGTTTATATTAATGCTCATTTAACTACCCCATGAAGTAGATATTATTACTGATTCTGTTTTATAGAATAAAGAAAGTAAGACTCAGAGGAGTTAAGTAATTTGTTCCTAAGTTCACACAGCAGAGTGATAGAACAGTGGCTGTAATTCATTTATTATTAAAACATGCTAAGAGTTCATTTGGAGAGGAAAGAAGTGTTCTAGAGAGCTGAAATGTGGCGTACCACCATACAGACCAGCAAAGACAGAGAAGAACTTTAACTGCTGGGTTTTCAGTCTGTCTCTGGAATAATATATGTGTATTTATACCTGCTCAAGTGTAATACTGCCTGCTTCCAAGGGAGGAAACATATTTGTTAAGCATGTTACTTGTTCGTGGTCCCAGAAAATCAAATACATGATTTTTAGTAGGGACAAGAATTTTAAATTACTGTTTGTTCTTCGTAAGAAGGTATAAAAGCATATTAAATTTCTTTATTTGTATAGGTATAAATATGCAAAATTTCACCTAATGCATTGCCAAAGAACTTACAAAAATCCTGAATTCAAAATTCATGAGCAAAAATTGCTAGTTTATTTTATAACTTTTCAAATGGCATTCAGGAGCAATTGATTATCATTTAACTTATATTATTTTTAGCATAATCCAGCTCAATATTGCCTAATAAAAATATTTAAAGAGCATTAATTATAGAAAGATGTGGTGAGAAGTGAAAAGAATTCATTCTACACCTAATTAGAAAACATTCTAGCAGCTGGTGTGGTTCACAGAGATTCATATTATGGAAATCCTTTAAATGAACAATGTGTATGTTTTTATCAATTTGTTTTGCAGCGCAAGACTCATCAGTTTTTTGTCAAATCTTTTACTACTCCTACCAAATGTCATCAGTGTACCTCCTTGATGGTGGGCTTGATAAGACAAGGCTGTTCCTGTGAAGGTAAGAATTAAATGGTAAGAAAATGTGACTAATTTAGTGTCCTGACATTTACTCCCTAAATTGTAATCAAATAGCTTTATTCTGTTTAAAAAGCATATAAATGTTTATTTGACTTAATCATTTGCTTTTCTTTGGATAATAAACTGAACACCTTGCTAAAGTCTGTTGAATATTGGAAACTAGACAGATGGTCCCTAGAAACATTTTCTAGGGGAGCTATATTTAAATATGTTTCATTCATCTTTGTTTCATCATTCAGGAGAATTTGTGGTCCCCAAAACCGATTAACCTGTATGACAAAATATGTGAAAGTTATTCTTGAATCTATTCATTTAATTTTACTCTTGTTTAATTTATTAGAGAAATTATTATTAATAAGTAGACAATGAAGTATCTTTTCACAAATATTAAATGTCGGCTACTATGCCTCAAAAGATATTTTATTCCTAGCGTTAGTAGCAGAGGTTTTTCCCTACCATTCATCGATCGATCCATCCATCACGTGCTCGCAGAATGCCTGCTCTGTGCTTCTAGGCACTGGGGATCAGGATTCTATGTTTGGCTAGTTCTCACAACCCAAGTGGAAGATCCTGATTGCATTATCTTCAGTGGTCTCTTAGACGCATGGGTTTAGAGCAAAAGGAAATGGGCAGGCTTTAAAAGTAGAGATTTGAGAGTTACGAATGTGTGAAGTGATGAATATGAATGATGTTTTCCAGGAAACACATGTAGAGTAAAAAGAGAACAAGTATGAGGACAGAGCCTTGGGAAACATAGTTAAGGGGAGGTAAAAGCTAAATAACAAAGTAATCTGAGAAGGAATAGCCTCTATCATTGACTAGGGAGGTGTGTCTGAGCCCAACGGAGAGAATTTGCTTTGTCTCATTGTGAAACTTAGCCAGTACTTATAAATGTGATTTTTTTAATCTGTTTATCAGAAAGAATCCTGGCAGCTACTTGGCTTTAGGTCCCTTGTCATATTTTATGAATCAGAATCATTTGCGGTTCCATAGTAGGAATGTTTGAGATCTTCCCAATTCTCTTCCCTTCTGAGGGTCTCCTGCCATGAAATTGGGCCTGTCTTTTCTTCAGACTGACTCTTTGCAGCCTACCAGCCTACCCTATAAAGCTGTGGGGACACATTGGACTATACTCAGGCTTTCATGAATGTTGTATAATGTGGTTGTAACCTCTAAAGATTCCTGTCATTTTAATTCTTCTTGGTTGAAATTAGATCCAGTATTGGACAATTATCTTATTGTTTCCATTGCCCCTTGGAAGAGAGATTTTTACTTATTAAAGCAAATTGTAACTTGTTAGACACTCTACTTAGAAGTGAATGAGTTGTCTTACAGAAGATGAATCGTTTTTGACAGTACTAGTCCCTCTTGCCTCTCTGCTGGTTTTATATCCATTTGTGATATACAATCCATTTTCCCATGTGTATGTTCCCATGATGGTATCCCTTCAGTTCCTCTTTTATTCCTTCCCAGATATTCTCCAGGATCCCCCTGAGAGTAGGAATTGTCTAAATAGACATTCTTAGTCTGTAACCTCTCCCAACAAGCTTGTTTGTTTTAAATATTTTAACCTTTAATTCTCAACCAACCAAGTCTCAGTGGAAGAGAGTTTATTTTTATTTATCATTTTGTCTTAGAATCTCAAGTTCATCATTTAAGTATCAAGAGATATCATGGCAATACTGTTGGTAGTTACGTATGCAGGCTCCGAGCAAGATTGCCTGGGTTTGAATTCCAGCAATGCCACTTAACAAGTTCTGTGACCCAGGGCCAGTCATACGTAAATGGAGATTATCTTACCTCTCTTAGATTATTACAGAAAAAATTAAAAACACTCAATAAAATTAACTACTCTTATTATCTTAGTAGTAATTTAACTATATACAATAATATTAGTAACTCCTAAAATTTAAATTATACCTTCTTAATCATTGAACAATTTAAATTTAAAAGAGGGATTGGTAAAATTTGCCAGATATTGAAAAGATGTCAGGTAATTTAACATCCATCAGTGACTCTTGCAAGAGAGATTTCAGGTCAGATACCAAATTACAGTGAGATGAAGAGTTAAAGAAAACTCCAGAAGCTACTCTTTTAAGAATTCAGTTTAAAACAGTTGTTTTATTTGCAAGGTTAGATTTTTTTTCCATCTGTTTGCTTCTCATTTTGATCACTAGTGCTAACACAGAACAGTAATATTACATATTACATATTACAGTAATAAAAAAGTATTTACTATTTCACACTGAAATTCTTACTGGTGAGCAAATGAATCAGCTCCCCAAATGACAAAAATATTATCAAGTTGTTTAAAATAAAATCAGAGGTGAGCATTCATTTAACATGGCACTTTGCATGTAATGAGTGCTCAGTGAATTTTCTCTTTGTAAGAAGGAATTTTTATTGAACACTGTTTCTTTTTTCCTCTCCAAAAGTGTGTGGATTTTCATGTCACATAACTTGTGTAAACAAAGCTCCAACTGCTTGTCCAGTTCCTCCTGAACAGACAAAAGGTCCCCTGGGTATAGATCCACAGAAAGGAATAGGAACAGCATATGAAGGGCATGTCAGGGTAAGTATGATTAGGTTGGGTTTAGATTAATCTTTTAAGGCTTATTAATGAATTAAAGAAAATCACCTTACAAACACAGTCCTTGACAGAAAATTAGGTGAATAAAATTCATCTAACACTTTTACTTCATTCAGAGTAATGATCTGAAAACAAAAACCTAGCTTTTGCTCAGAATAAATTCCAAAATGTCTCAAAATTTTCTGTACTGTCCCTGTATTGTAATGAACAGATATTGAAATCTCCATAAAGGAGTCTTTGGCTCTTCCTCTTGCTGGAGAGGTGGCATATGCTTATGAAGTATGAGATACTGTCAAGACATAATCTTACTTGTAATCTTGAATAATATTTAAAGTGTAAGCTGCTTTTCATCCTACTACCAAATTTGGCTTTTATGCTACTTAGAAATCCATGAATGTTATTTTAATGAATCACTAGAGAAAATTAAAATGGTACCATTAAAGTTTTTTTCAGAATATAATGTCAATCGGTGTTTGAAGAATGTAGTTATCACACTTTCTCATGTTATTAATGATATATGTGTACCATCTGCTACTTTACCAAACACAGTGGCAGACTTACAACACGTGTACTCTGTCTTTAGGTTTTCATCATGCAGTTACATATGTAATTAAAGGGGCTCTGACTGACATTTCAGTTTAGGTTGTTTTGTTTGTTTGTTTGTTTGCCTGTCTAAGATCCCTAAGCCAGCTGGAGTGAAGAAAGGATGGCAGAGAGCACTGGCTGTAGTTTGTGATTTCAAACTCTTTCTGTATGATATTGCTGAAGGAAAAGCTTCTCAGCCCAGTGTCGTAGTCAGTCAGGTGATTGACATGAGGTAAGTTTGCGAAGGTGAAAATACTTGTACCTTTGCAACATGGGGATGAAAAGTGTGTGATTTTTCTTCTAATTGCATTGCCATGTTTTTATTTAAATCTAATTTCATGTTAGTTTTCTCATTTACTAATATTGCAATCATAACATCGTTAAAAATATGAAATAAGGTGTAGTTATAGAACAGGTTGGTGTGTGTTGGGTCAGGGAGAAGAGGCTAATGTTTGAAAGCAAACGACCAGTTTAAAGGTTGCGGGGGGAACTGGAGTCTAATGTAATGTTCATATCATCACCTAAAGTAAAGGCTTAGGTATAATTCCAATGTGAGGAAAGGAAATAAAAATCTCAAAATCGGACAGGCTCTTGGAATATAAAATGAATCAGTGAACGTTTAAGTAAGTATATCTCTTGAACGTTTCTAGTTTCATTTTTCAGACTCTTCCCCTGCCCCTTGGGGTGCTCTGCTTACCCTCTTCTCGTGACTCCCTTAACGCTCTCCCTCACTGATCTTATTGACTGCCATAGCTTCAGCCATCACCTCTGTGTTGACGACTCCCGGACATATGTCTCCAGTCCAGGTCTTTCTCCAGTGCTCAAAACTAGAATTTCTAGCTCTGGCTCACATTGGCATTTCATACCAGCATTTCAAACACGTTATCTTCCCCACAAATACGGAATATAAAGGAACAGATGCAAGAAATACTAGAATATCAGCAAGGAAGATTTGACAGAACCTCCTAAGGGAGAAGAGTCAAAGACAGGACTAAGATGTCAAGTCTTCAAGACCAAGAGAATGATGGTACCAATGACCAAATCAAGGAAGTCACAAGGAATAAATTATTGTGGAGGAAATCTGTCTGAGGTGTTGAAGGAACAGTAAAATGTCAGATGAGCTGTGTTGAAGGCACTTGAGATGTACTGTGAGAGGAAAGAGGGTGCAGTCTACTGGAGACCTACCAGGGTTCGAATCCATGTGTACTTACTGGCCTTTTGACTCCGAGTAATCCAGAAATGATTTCTAACTCTTGTATAATGTGGCACTGTTAAGTTACACTTGATAAATTACTTTGGGCACTATCAATTACAAAGGGAGAAAATTTAAAACTTTTAAAGATTTAATTTGGATGTTTTGTGCAATTAAATTTTAAGGATTGCTTCATATTCACATGTGTTATTTGGATACACGCCTAAAACCACACACACATACCCACATACACTGACTTTTACTGTTTCCGTTGACTTTTAACTTTTCCTTCAGGGATGAAGAATTTTCTGTGAGTTCAGTCTTGGCTTCTGATGTTATTCATGCGAGTCGAAAAGACATACCCTGTATATTTAGAGTAAGTATGTGTGCTGTAATTTGATCACTGAATTATTCGCTTTTTATGAGTAAACGTTTTGCCTTTCTATATAGATCACAAACTTATTTGGAATAGAACCAAATCTTATAGACAATTTGTGCTAAGTAAATATTTAATTAGTGAAAGACCAATAGAGAGTATGAATAGGGCTTCCCTGGTGGCGCAGCAGTTAAGGATCCTCCTGCCAATGCAGGGGACACGGGTTCGAGCCCTGGTCCGGGAAGATCCTACATGCCACCTAGCAACAAAGCCTGTGCACCACAACTCCTGAGCCTGCGTTCTAGAGCCCGTGAGCCACAACTGCTGAGCCCGCGTGCCACAACTACTGAAGTCCGTGCGCCTAGAGCCTGTGCTCCACAACAAGAGAAGCCACCGCAGTGAGAAGCCCGCGCACCACAATGAAGAGTGACCCCAGCTCGCTGCAACTAGAGAAAGCCTGAGCGCAGCAACGAAGACCCAACGCAGCCAAAAATAAAATAAATTAAAAAAAAAAGAAAGAAAGCATGAATATGTGGCTTCTAAAATAGATTTCGTCTTGGATAATGTTTTTGAGTCACAATTCAATTTTCAGATAAGCACTACAATATGAAAAAATGAATAAGCATGAGATTTCTCAATTTTTTAAAAAACAGAAGTTTCTTTAAGATCTCATTTAAAAAGTTAGTATGTTTCAGTTCTATTGCTTTGTAATAACCACTCCAAAACTTAGTGGCTTAAGCCAACAGTGATTTATTTTGCACCGTTCTGTGGGTCAGTCCTTCAGGTGTACCGTTCTGGTGTCAACTGGGGTCACTCCTGTGACTGCATTCAGCTCATTTGGAGCAGGAATATATACCAAAATGACCTTACTCTCACATCTGGGGCCTTGGTGCTGGCTGTTCGCCTTGGTACCTGGCTGTTCACTGGGCCACCTCAGTTCTCTGTATGAACTCTCTCCACGTGGTCTCTGATCATCCACTAGTGTGGCTGAGCTCTCCATGACCGACTTCCAGGAGAGCAGAGGAAGCTGCCAGCCCTTTTAAGGACTAGGCTCAAAACAGGCATAATAACCCTTCTCCATTCTGTTGGCCAAAGCAAGTCATGAGGTCAGCCCGGATTAAAGAGAAGGGGAAACAGACTGCATTTGTTGATAAGAAGAGTGGGATTCCATAGAAGAATTGTTGGTAGCCATCTTTGGAGGCTGTCTAATACAGGGCCATCTCGAATTGGTGAATTAAGGTAATAGAGGTTAATAAAAAGGGCTGTTGCCTTAATGGTATGCCTATATGCTTTGTATTTTTCTATGAATCTTGTATATGAGGAAGGTCAGACAAAGACCATACTTAGTCTTTCAGTTCCTAGACCAACAGCTATTCTCTTACCAGTACCAAGGGATCCTACAGAGGCCCACTTATCTTAACTGATTCTAATTGTGGGATTTTATTGTCACTGCTGCTTAAATTACTTTTAATAAAGGATCCATATATACATAATTCAATTCTGTTCTGATTATAGTGTCATTGTATAATTATAAACCTTCATTTAAATACTAGCTCAAGTGATCTGGTCTTTCCCTGAGATGAGTTATTGTTATGAAGTAATAGAGAATCTTAAGTACTTCCGATATTTTTGACTTTCTTAAAACAAGTTGAAAATCAGTACAGTGCAGTGCTTACAAGCGTGGACACAGGATTCCAGTCTAGTTGTGTGTCCTTGGAGAAATTAATTTATCTGCATCACAGTTTTTTTCATATATAAAATCAGAATATAATAACAATACCTACCTTATAAAGATTGTTGATAGAGTTAAATGAGTTAATACTTACGAAGTGCTTTGATCAGTGCCCAGTAATTACTCAATAAATGTCAGTTGCTGTTGTTATATGACTGTGTGTAATGGATTTTTTAGTGATAGTATTCTGGCACTTTGCAGCAAAGAAAATACAAATGACACTAACATTTAGAACGGTATCTACTACCTTTGTCATGAATTCTAATGCTAAAACTATTCTTCTGGTTATGAATAGCTAAACTCTGTTAAAGGTATCACTTAATGAATGCTCATTTTGTTGGCTAGTGCTAAGCGAACTAGCATCAGTATAAAACTGGCTTAAAAGGTATCTGTTTGCTGATGTCATGAATTTTGATTAAATTGTTCTAGGTCACAGCTTCCCAGCTCTCAGCGTCTAATAACAAATGTTCAATCCTGATGCTAGCAGATAGTGAGAATGAGAAGAGTAAATGGGTGGGAGTGCTGAGTGAATTGTACAAGATTTTGAAGAAAAACAAATTCAGAGACCGCTCAGTGTATGTTCCGAAAGAGGCTTATGACAGCACTCTTCCCCTCATTAAAACGACCCAGGCAGCTGCAATCATAGGTATGAATTCGTAACATTCATCTTGTTATAATTGTTTACTAATATACCAGTCAGCAGGGACTGGTTTTCATCTAGGAATTCCGGTGTCTAACATGGCATGTGTTATATCACAGATGCTCAGTAAATGTTTATTGAATGAATGAGACCGTATTAGAACTTTATTTTTCAGTAAACAAGAATAAATATACTTTTCAAATGTGTTTTCTTCTGAAGAAGCAACAATGCTGAAGATTAACCTATTAGCGAATCGATTTTCCGCTTGTGTGACTTAGAAAAAGTTGTTTAAAGCATAAGCCGTTTCATAAAGCATAAGTTTCCTATGTAAAATATAGGTACTACTTACCTTGCAAAGGTTACTGTGAAGTTTAAATAATACGGAATGTGTAACACAGAGTGCTCCGTATATAATATGCCCTCAAAAATGGCAGCTTTTCGGTCTGGAGGGTTAAATTTTCACTATATTCTTACGTACACTGCCCACCCTTTTGTTAACTTTCTAGTAAATAATGAAAAGTTTGATGAGTAGGGTTCAAATGCCTTTCACAATTTTTCCCTCCCCAAACAAGAAATGGAACTGGACACAGGGTGCTAACAAACTAGGGGTTTTTTCTTTCACCTTTTATTGAATAAACATTTATATCTTTTTATAAGCATTGATATAAGTTATTTTCTGGTGATTGTTCTATTAAAGAAATACATGAGAGAATATTTACCACAGTAATCTGAAAGGAAATTTAATAGTGCAAATTGTTACTGCTATTTTTTAATTGTTTATTTTATTTATTTGGTTTTTTGTACCAAATTTCTTTTGTTATCTGTTTTATTCTATGAATTTACATAGTTTCTACCTAATAAAAATACTTCACATTTATGTCTTATATAGATCATGAAAGAATAGCTTTGGGGAATGAAGAAGGGTTATTTGTTGTGCATGTCACCAAAGATGGTAAGAGAAAATTATTTTGGAGAAAATATTATTGATAGAGTATTCTAACCTACAGATTCTGAATTCTAAAAAGAGCAGGATTTGCTCTTATTTATTCTATAATTGAAATGTTCCAGGCCTAATTGGATACGTCTATAAGTCAAAAGATAATTTTTTAATTTTTGTAATCCATCTGAGTTCTAAAACTTCCATGTGTATTGTCTTTCTTCTGTCATTTTATTTACAGTTCTGCTGTATGAACTCAGATTGCATTTCTAAAGATGGTACATGAAAGAAAAATGCAACTTGATTTTTTTTCACAGTTCTCACAGTACTAGAAGCGGTAACAGTCATTAAAATGTGTTTGTTGTTGGGGTCTTTGATCCCACAGTTTAACACAACAGATTTCTTTTTAGGGAGAAATGAAATACTGGGTGAAATAAAAAGGAACCCATTTAACTTAGCCTTCTTGAATACAGCATTCTAAGTTCTGTCTTTATAGCAAGTTAGATCATGGGAAAACAATGCATTTAAACTTCATTAATTTGTTACCCAAAGAAATACCTTTAGTGAAACATGAGTTACTCAGTTTTTAAAAATAGTAACCCCATGGTAAACTTCCCTAGGATTTGGTGAGAGTAAAGAGGTTTTTCTTAAAGATCTGGCATGCTTTATCACATAGGAACTCTTTGCCATGGCTGCCAGAAATCTCAGTGCTAAATTTAATACCTTACTATAGATAGGTTAAATTATCTTATAATGGGTGTAATTATCTTCATCTTTCTCCATATGATTTCTGATCTCTCATTTTTTCTGTGTGTGTATCTCTGTCTTTATTACAAGTTGACATATTCTTTTGAGTATAATTGGGATATAATTAATAGGTAAACAAAACATTTTGCAGTTGATTTATTACTGTTTCTTTGCATAGAAATTATTAGAGTTGGTGACAATAAGAAGATTCATCAGATTGAACTCATTCCAAATGATCAGCTTGTTGCTGTGATCTCAGGACGAAATCGTCATGTACGACTTTTTCCTATGTCAGCTTTGGATGGGCGAGAGACTGATTTTTATAAATTGGCAGAAACTAAAGGGTGTCAAACCATAACTTCTGGAAAAGTACGTCATGGAGCTCTTACATGCCTGTGTGTGGCTATGAAAAGGCAGGTCCTCTGTTATGAACTATTTCAGAGCAAGACCCGTCACAGAAAATTTAAGGAAATTCAAGTCCCGTATAATGTCCAGTGGATGGCAATCTTCAGTGAACAACTCTGTGTGGGATTCCAGTCTGGATTTCTAAGATACCCCCTGAATGGAGAAGGAAGTCCATACAGTATGCTTCATTCAAATGACCATACACTCTCATTTATTGCACATCAACCAATGGATGCCATCTGTGCAGTTGAAATCTCCAGTAAAGAATATCTGCTGTGTTTTAACAGCATTGGGATATATACTGACTGTCAGGGCCGAAGATCTAGGCAACAGGAATTGATGTGGCCAGCAAATCCTTCCTCTTGTTGTAAGATTCTCTTACTTTTCGCTGTCTTATCTTGCCGTTTCTTTCTTTTTCCTTCTCCTTCATCTCCTTTGTGTATTCATTGTTAATAACAGGTTGTTTTTTAAGTCACCTTTGAGGTTTTTCCTAAGCATCAAGTATGTTTTATGTAAAGTAACTAACCATATGTAGTTAAGACCTAGGCCAACAGGGTCAACATTAACAGGAACATAATTAAAGCTAATCTTCCTCTGCAATATTTTACTTAGATAGATGTTCAACACATATTATTGTATTTTGAAATAACCCTAAGGAGTTATCTTCATGGTCCCCCCAAATATAGTGCTTGTGAGCACTAATAGCTCATAGGACTTATTCTAGAGAAGTGGTTACCTAGTGAATTATTTAATCAGTTATGTGAAGGTATGATGTAGCATTTGAAAAGTTATTCACTTTTACATTTTTTTTTTACATTTTTTACATTTTACATAGGTAGGTAGATACTTTTAAGAAACATTAAGATATTAATAAATTATTGAATACCTATTATGTGTCATTTTACTGTAAAGAGATATAACATTGAGCAAAATAGACAGTCCTACCCTCACAGAGCATGAATGCGGTAGAATGGATTCCTGACAAAACAAGTTGCAGTAGAATATAAGTGCTCTGATAGCAGAAGTACAGAGTTCCGTAGAGGCATGTAGGAGGAATATGTAATCCAACACATTTTGTTTTTAGTGGAAGATACTTTGAGCATGTTTAAATGCCGAAGGGAGATAGCCACTAGGGAGCCGGGGAAAGGTTGATGACTATATGGTAAATATAGGAAATAGAGTAAGATCCCCAAGAGGCCAAAAAGGATGGAAGTCAGAATATAGGGGAAAGGATTTGGAACAGGAGGAGTAAAACCTCTTCCACTGCAACAAGATAGGAGGAATGGTGGGGATGAGTATAGTCAAGTTTAAAAGTTCAGTATCAGAAAGTTTAGGAGAGCCATATATACCTATTACAGAAGAATTAGAAAATCTAGATCAAAAGAAAAATACTTCTGCCTACCCAGACTTAACTATTCTTGATGTTTTGTTTCTTCTGAAATTTATACTCTTATCTATGGCATCATATTTTGAATGAATCCTAGTCAGAAAATAATTCAAAGTATTATGTGAATTGTACAGTGTTAATTGGAATTAGAATAAGAATTAGAATATCTGGCTTTTATGAATAGCTCTGCCAAAAATTTAATTCATGACCTTAGCTTAGGTAAATCATTTAATCTTTCTTTGCTTGTGTCACCATTTATTGATGTTCATTCTCTCAGTAAGTATATATTGAGCATCTCGCGTGCCAGATGCTTTATCATACTTTGATAAATGTGACCATAACTCTTACCTGAAGATTTCTCTACTTCGTAAGTTGTTTCACTGTCAAGAGCTTAACTACTTTAGGAATCAGTTATTTAAAATGTAATGAAATTCCTTTATAGAACTAGTATGGGGCAAGGGAATAATATACTCTTGGTGTTAACAGACTCCTGTATTATAATGGCCTTAAAACCTCTTCATTTATGATTTACGGGTTTTTTTTTTTAACTTCAAAAATGTATTGATGTGGCTACCATATGTTAACAATAGGATTTTGGTGGGATTCCACTCTACACTTCATTAGCATAGATCTTTCAAAATGTTTGCGGTTTAGCAGTTAAAAGTAACCAGCCAGCTGTTCTCTCCTTCCCATCTCCCAGGTTACAATGCACCATATCTCTCAGTGTATAGTGAAAATGCAGTTGATATCTTTGATGTGAACTCCATGGAATGGATTCAGACTCTCCCACTCAAAAAGGTAATTTAATATTAAAAAATGGGCTAAGTGAACAAATGACTGTTAAGTGAAACACTAATGTGACTATTTAGCTATTTTTCACTAGTTTAGCATTTTCTGTCACATGTAATAACATAATTGGTAATCTGGGACTTAGCTAAGAGTAGAGAAAAAAAGAAAAATCAAGCTGGTTAATTGTACAGGTAGCTCAACACCATATTATTTTCATTACATTTTGTTTCACTGTGTAACGTGTGATTATTATAATAATGAACGACTAGAATATATTCGACAAGTTAAAATGTCAGTGTTATCCTCCACTTTAGTTTAAGGAGCTCTGAAGGAGTATTTTATTTGTAATTTTACTGTTTTTCACATAATGGTATGCAATTTTAATCCTGTGAGGGCAAATTTCATGGGCTAGAAAAGTGATTAAGATTAGAACCAATGCTCTGTATAAGCATCTCATGATTAAAAAATAAGGGTTTCACACATTCCTAATAAAATATAATATTTTCCTTTAACATTTCCCTATGATAACATAAAGAGAATTTTTACCAGTGTAGAATGGCTGTTTTGCAACAATGAAGAATAATAGTTTCATGTAAGTATATGCAGCGTGTGTCATTAGCTGCAGGGCAGGGTTTAGAGGAATGGGTAAAAGACAGTAACCAAGATCTTATTTCAAAATCTGCCCCAATTTTAAACCATAACAGCAGTGAGAAAAGCTCTTGTAAGTGCTGCCACATTTTATAAAACAACTAAATATGGTCCTCGCGTTTATAAATTCGGGCTGGTTACAATTAGTTTTCCCTTTTATGTTTATCATGTGAATTTTGAAGTATATATAAAAGAATATATGATCTTTATGAAGTATAATAAAAAACTGATCACTTATGAACTCACCTCCTAACTTAAGAGCCAGAACATTACCAATTTCACTGAATCTGCTTGTGTATTTTTCCCTTACCCTGATTATTGTGTTTATCATTCCCTTGCTTTTCTTAAAATACAGAATTTTTTGTATATTTAAATATTTCTAAACAGTATATTGTTCAGTTTTGCTTGTGTTTGAGATAATAAAATGTTATGTTGTATATCATCTTCTGCCTTGCTATCTTAATGTATTTACTGTTTCTAAGATTCATCCATGTTACATGTACTATATATATGTGTACACACACATATATATATTTCATTGCTTTTCACTACTGTAAAATATTCTGTTGGGTGAATAGATCACAATTTATTTGTCTGATTAGCAGACACGTGAATTATTTCCCAGCTTTCTGCTATTATGAACGTTGCTGTAGAAGTCATATATGTCTTCAGGTGCGTATGTGCAGTAGTTTCTTTTACGTCATATGCCTAGGAACGAAACTGATGGGACATGGAGAATGCACGTGTTCAACTTTACAAGATAGTGTCAAATTATTTTCCAAAGTAATTGTACCAGCTGACACTCCCATCATCAGTATACAAGAGTTCTTAATGACCCATACCGTTGTCAGAATTCATAGTCTTATAACCATTTATTTATGGTTATAAAGTGATATCTCATTGACGTGTTCATTTGCATGTCCCCAATTAACAGTGTTGCTGATAATCTTTCGTATGTTTATTCATCGTTCATATTTCCTCTTCTGTAAAATACCTGGTCATGGTTTTTGCTCATTTTCTTGTTTGGTCATCTTTTGATTTATTGAAATTATTCATATATGGTAGATACTGGTTTAGTGATGGGTGTGGTGAATCTTTTCCCTGTTTGTGACCTATCTGTTAATCCTTACATAGTGCATTTTGTGAACATTTGTTGTTATTGCTTGAAAATTCATTGTTATAAATTTTAATGTAATATCATTCTTATCCTTTTTACATTTATCTTTTTTTTCTTAAGAAGCTCTTTCCTACCTCAAGGTCATAAACATAGGATCTTTATTTTCTTTCAAAAGTTTGAAAGTTTTGCCTACTGTGTTTATGTCTCTGTTCCATTTAGAATTGACTTTTTGTGTATGGTGTGAAGTAGGAATTCAGTTTCATTTGTTCCATATAGATACCCAGTTGCTCCATCACCATTTATTGACAGTCCCTCCTTTCCCCGGTGTTGTACAATTTCATCTCTGTCATGTGTGTACATTTAGTTCAAATAAGATTCATAAAGTAGCTGTATGGATATCTTAGTATCATCGTCTGGTACTAATGGCTTTAAAAAGTCAAATTTAAGGTTTAAATGTATTTCTGCTTTTCTTTTTTTGCCCAGAATATTCTTCCTTTAACATGTTATCATTATAACTGTGTTAGTTCAAGTCAGATAATTTTATACCTTTCTAGTCAGAATTGTTGATTTCCTTCCTAAAGAGGAAGGATAAATTAAAAGTCTTAATAGTGTGTGCCTTATAAATATCTCAAAAGTTTTATGATTTAATTTTTGAATTTTGTTGAAATGCTAATTTTATTTTTTATTATTTTAGGTTCGACCATTAAACAGTGAAGGATCATTAAATCTTTTAGGGTTGGAGACGATTAGATTAATATATTTCAAAAATAAGATGGCAGGTAAGAAAATACACATTAGTGGGAGAGCTTCATAGAAGTATTCTCGCTAAGCTGACCGCTGAAGATAATAAGTGGCAGAGCCACTTAAACTCAGGTGTGTCTTACTCCAAAGTCTGTGAAGTTGACCACTATCAACTTCAATACATACTATCAATATATTGAGATAAACTACTAGACAAAAAGTCGTTCTGTTCAGGCTCACATAGCTGTATAGGCAAAATATTTGATTCTGACCTACCTTGTTATTTTTCTGTGGAGTACTGAGGTAAATAGAGAAAGTATAACTGAATATATCTTCTGTACTTTTAATACTGTAGAACCTAGCCAAAATTTGTAGCACTAAAATTACGAAAACTCATCCAGAGTTCCGTTTTGGGACTGTTGGAATCCATCTTCGGCCAATGCATAGGGCTTAGAACTTTTGAAGTTTGCTAATGACCACACGGGCAACAGAAGCAGGGACAGGAGGAAAGTCACCAGAGGCCCAGAGTCAGGAGAGGGGATGGGAACCTGGGTGCTACGGACAGGACAAGGGCAGCATACAGAGCAGGGAAGTGAGTCCCAGCCAGGGAGGCTGCACACATCTAATTAGGTTGATTGCCAGGGAGTGCCTGTGAACAGTTAAAATCTCACTTGTAACAGATATTATTAGAATGCTATAAGTTATTCTCACATCTTGGCAACAAATTTCTCCGTAACAGAGGTATTCATAAATTTATGATCTTTTCTGGTGGATCTAGTTAATGAAGATGTAATTATGGTACGTTATGTATTTAGAATAATAATTTGACTTAAATGTAAGTAAAAACATTGGCATTCAGAAAACACATTAAAATGTTTATATCAGTTATCTCTGGGTAGTGGGATTATTGTATTCCTTATGCTTTTCTTTTTTCCCCCATATTCTTCCAATAAATTTGTATAGTCTATCAAAAAGAAAATACCATCAAAAGTTTGTCATTTTTGTTTTGTTTGTTTTTAAGTACTAAGATAGATACAAATTGCTTGGCTTCAGATTTGATGCTCTGGTATATCCTCTTGGCACTGGAGGCTTCTTGGTATACAGACTGGTGACTGTAGGAAAAATCCTATGCTAAGAGGATATTGCAGTATGACTTGAGAAGGGATATTCAGGTATTAGACAAGATTAAATCCACCCTCTTCTCGCTGTATGTAATGATTGTAGAATGTGTCCATAACCCAATTCGTCTCTATAGGATAAAACCTATTCCAACTCGTCTTTTTTTATGCTCTCATCTTTCTACTCTAGGCTAGGAGTAAAGGTGGAGCTAGGAGGAGGAAGACCTGACAAAATTTCAACATAGTTGTCTTATCCTTTGAAAAGGAAAGGAAATCCTATTTCCTGGAGATTCTATTTCTCTGTCTTGTCTGTTTCTCTTTCGTCTCTCAGGAGCCCAAAGTGCTCTTGCAGTCCTCTGGCTGTCCACAATCTCCCGTTGCCACTGCAGCTCTCCAAGATCTGCTTCACCCTCATAATTCTCAAATTCCAACTCTCAAATTCTCATCTACTTTTAAAATTTTATCCTTTTAACATTTGCTGTTAGGAAAGCAATCTGATAAAGCTATTATTATGATAAAAGGAGAATGTTGCTTTTTTTTTTACTAATCATCTTGCTTTGGCTTGCCTTACAGGCTCCTTTGGCTTCTTCCTACTACATTTTTCTCATTTTAGCTTTTTGGGTGTTATAAACTTCTAAAGATTGGCTTTTCTCTTTTTCCTTACCTTATTTAGAGAATGGAATTCATCATGTTGTATGGACACAGTTTTCTGTTTTAGAGGATGTTCACCATATCCCAGCATGTTTTGGGAGCCCATGGCTAAGAGTTTTGTTTACTTCTAGGTATTAAAATTGAGATAGATGGGCATTAGGTGACTAGGTGTACATAAGTAAGTATCCCCTGAAGATCAGGAGAGTAGAAATAGCAGTAAGATTCTTACTTTTAGTAAAGGAAGCTGGAAGAAACACAATTCCTTTCCTTTACTCCACATCTTGCAAATTGGATCTGCAAAGGACATGTTTTAATATATCAAAAAAATTTTAACTGTTATCATTTTCATGGATAATTTACCAGTTATGCCTGATTACTGTGCAGGTCAACAATAAGAGCTTTTAAACACCCTAAGCCATTGAAACCAATACTGGGAAGGTGGGAGAAGATGGTGTAGAGATATTGGGGGTGGGGTGGCCAAAGTGATAGGACACCAAGGCAACTACATTTTCCTTTTTTTCTTCTAGTAAAATTGTACCATTTTATGTTTATAATCAAATGAAGGTGAAAATATACTCTGTAAGCTATATTTAATTTCAGCATATATTTGTTTACGTATATTTCATTTAAAATTATTACTTATTTACTATGATTTATCAACACAACTTTAAAACATCAGAATTGCATATACTTGTATGATTGATCGATGTTTGTACCGTCTTGGAGATTAATGGATGAAAAGCATTTTAGCGCTTTAAAGAATATCATTGTTCTTTGTATTTTTTTTTTTTTTTTAACAGAAGGGGATGAACTGGTAGTTCCTGAAACATCAGATAATAGTCGGAAACAAATGGTTAGAAATATTAACAATAAGAGGCGTTATTCCTTCAGAGTTCCAGAAGAGGAAAGGATGCAACAAAGGAGGTAGATATTTAATTCATACTCATCTAAAGATGCTTATAGCATCAGAAGGACTATTTGGTAATAATACTGTATTTGATTTGGAAGGAAAATTTGATCTCTGAAAGTCTGTCATCATCATCTATGCTGTTAAAAACTGCAATAATGAATGTATTTCTCAGTGTAATTTTAATTAATAGTTCCCAAGTTGTGAGTATGTACTAAAGTACCATATTTTGATTCATTTCTCTTTGTATATGGATTAGTTACAGTTTTTAGAATGTGGGCTTTTTTTTTTTTTTTTTGCGGTACACGGGCCTCTCACTGTTGTGGCCACTCCCGCTGCGGAGCACAGGCTCCGGACGCGCAGGCCCAGCGGCCATGGCTCACGGGCCCAGCCGCTCCGCGGCATGTGGGATCTTCCCAGACCGGGGCACGAACCCGCGTCCCCTGCATCGGCAGGCGGACTCCCAACCACTGCGCCACCAGGGAAGCCCAGAATGTGGGCTTTTGTAAACATAGAACATACCGGTGCAGATTAACTATTCTCATGACCAAACAGAAATACGCTTGTAGTATTTCCAGTTACATATAAAAACATTTCTAATATATTTGCAATTACTTTAAAAGATGTACATAAAATGTTCAGAATTATCTGTAAAATAGAGTAGAGCTTCTTTGATATTTAAACACTAAAATAACCCTCTCTGTTTTCCCACCAAAAATCATAAGGTCTTTTCTAAAATTTAAAACAAAATCTTCTAAGTAAATGTTTAACTTAGTATATCCTATTATTTTAATTCTATCATCATTAACATGATTTCACAGTTTATTTTTATGAAAAAATTTAAGTATACTTAATTTTTCTCTAAAACTGTCTAGATTGGTCATGGAATAAAAGTGTTTAAACAGGTGTTTTCTCTTACAGGGAGATGCTGCGAGATCCAGAAATGAGAAATAAATTAATTTCCAACCCAACTAATTTTAACCACATAGCACACATGGGTCCAGGAGATGGAATACAGATTCTAAAAGACCTGCCCATGGTAAGAGAAATGAAGAGTGAATGTGAATATAAATGGGGTTAAGACTAAGTTGGAGGGGGGAGGGGTGGATACATATGAGTGTGTGTGTGTGTGTGTGTGTGTGTGCACTTAAATACATATAAGACTTACAAAGCCATATTAGTATAATGAGGAAATGTTTGTCTCAACATATCACAATATATGTAAGATGCATAATGACATAGCTGATGAGAAAAACATAAAATATAGATGTGTATCAAAAACCAAACATATCAAGTGCTTATTTAGTTGAATACCCTATATACTTCTCCCATACCTAGATTTACTATTGTTGGAGAAATAAACCAGCAGATTTGGAGACATTCTATACCAAGATTCAGAACTTTGTTACCAAATTACTAAAATTTCACTAAGTTTTAGCAAATTCAACACAGATATTTGCCCCCCAAAGAACCACATTAGCTTGATCATTAATGGTCACACCTCTCATCTGATTATGAAATTAAATCTTTTTCCTCTGCCCATTACAGATGTGTTGCCTAGTCAGTCTTATATTTTAAAAAAAAGTACAAAAAAAGGAAAACTGTTGTGGTTTTTTTTTTTTTTTTAACAACATGAAGATTGGATTCTTGGACCTAAAATACTGAGATTAAGAACATTAGTGGAATTAGCTAATTATCCAAGCTATGTAACATTTCAGTATCATGGTACTCTCAACAAACTATTGAAACTTTAACATGACTCTTTTGATAGGTGGTGATAGCATCTAGATTTTGCACAGAATTTTAGGCAAAATTTAAATGCTATGACAGTTTGGGAGGTGATGTGTAAATCTCGACCCAAAGCTCTTTCTAAGGAAGTCTGTGTTAATTACCCACATTACTTAACTCTACTGTGATAGGAGATATAGACATGTATCACTGACAGAAAAAATAATAGGTAATACAGTTTGTACAGTCAAGTTTTTTTAGTAAAAAAGTTAAGCTCTTAAAGGTAGTTTTTGCATTTCTTTCATAGGAGGAACAAAAAAATCTGCACTAATTTGAGCCTGAGTTCCACATTATAAATATCTCAGTTAACCAGTTGCCCTGTTTATGAATGGATGTGATGTTCTTACTGTCATTGTTTTTTCATCATCATCAAGACATTATTATACGATTACAGTACCATTACTTCCTTTCAAATCATTCACAATAGTCAGTTAACCTTCTGAAATGGGGATTTTTATTAGCCGTGCTAGGTAGATATAAATAAAGTATGCAAAAAGATTACAGCCAATCTTGATATAGTAATTAAAATGAAGTAAGAAATTTAAGGCTGAACATAAATATTAAGCTGAAAATATTGAGAATAAATAAAGGCTGAGTTTACATAGTTAACTATTATACTTATCTATCATATCTAAAAGCTATACTACTTTTACAGTTTTTGCCTGGGAATGAGAGTTCAGATTTTTCTCCATTCTTTCCCCGTTCTGAACATTTACTTAAGTCCTCAGACTGGTTTTCCTTTATTCTCAGGAGTAAATGGAGCAGAACCACGCGGTCCAAAAGCTTCTGTCATTTTTCCTTTACAGAAGCTACAAGGTCAGGTACAAAGTACCTTAGGAGAGAGAATTTTTTAATTGTGATAAACAGTTGAAATGTGAATATATGTATAGCTTATATTTGATAGATCAATGTGAAATTTTTTGAAATTTAGTTGGTAAATAGTTTTTCAACATCTGCTATGTAGGTAGCATTATGGAGGGATAGAGGCATACAAATTTCAAACACATCCATATGCTGCAAAGCAACATATCAGCAAACACAAAATTATTTCAGTAGTGAACAAGGTTTTAATGTGTGTTATCCTTTTAAAATTAAACTTTCTTTCACACTCGCTTCATTCTGGTGTACAAAAAAAGAATAGTACGGTTTTCCTCTCATGTATTCCAATAACATAGCAAGAAGAATTATGGAAAATTTTTCTATAAATTCTGTTATATCCCACAGTATGTTCCTTAAGGAGAAATAGTTTCAGGATTTAATAAAATGTTCCTCTGCTTGACCAGGTGAAAAATCAGTTTGCTAATGTTCCAGAATTTTTTTCAGACCTTCATTCACAGTAAGGCTTGGTCTTTCTACACCCTGAATAAGCACACTGAAGCAAAATGTGAAATTTCAAGCATTGTTAAGAACTTTCATATCCCAGCATCCCTCCTTTTTCTCCCTTCACCCTCCCACCACTTAAAGTAAACGAAATCTCTATTTTGTCATTGTTGTTGTTCAGAATAAGGTCCATTCTTTTTTTTTTTTTTTTTTTTTTTTTTTTGCGGTACGCGGGCCTCACTGTTGTGGCCTCTCCCATTGCGGAGCACAGGCTCTGGACGCTCAGGCTCAGCGGCCATGGCTCACGGGCGCAGCCACTCCGCGGCATGTGGGATCTTCCCGGACGGGGACACGAACCCATGTCCCCTGCATCGGCAGGCGGACTCTCAACCACTGCACCACCAGGGAAGCCCAAGGTCCATTCTTAATTACTGGGCAAAACAAGTTCAGATAGCATTTCCCAAAGATTCAACATCAATCTGACCCCATGACGCAGGGCCTCCTGTGCTGGCTACTTATTCCCATTAGACCTCTTGATTTTCAGTATTAGTGTCACTGATTCTGTTAACCCATGACTGCCTTGCTGGTTCTCTTTGTAATTAACACAAGTGACTTTTTACCCTAGAGCTGCAATCCAGTTTTTAATGTTCCTTTCATTCCTTTCATGTTTTCTTATCACATAAGAACTTTTGAATGTCCAGGAAAGAAGTTGGTGTAAATTTTTGAAACCTGTTCACCTGTACATGTAGTATTGTAACAAAGATGTTATGTGTCTGAACTCCTGTTCTTTATTTTCACCTGACTTTCTTCCTTTCACTAGCAAAGAACATAAAAGCTGGGGGCTTTCATAGGCATCCATTTAATCACTTAACAAATATTTTTTGATATACTGTCATGCCAGAACTGTACCTACCTTGGAGTAGACAGTGGTAAACAACACAATAATATGCATGTCTGAAAAGCAAATAATATACATGTCTGTACCTCTGTGTGTGTGTGTGTGTATATGTGTGTGTGTATACGTGTATTAAAAAGCTTGTGATATTTTAATATAGTCTCAGATTTTAGTATGTTCTTTCCACTGTAATTTTCTATATTTAATGAACTGTTTTCAAAAATGAAGGTGAACTTAATTCATCTAACATTAACATGTATAAGAAGCACTTTCAAATACCAAAGCTATGATGTTGTCATTCGTGCAAAGAGCATGTACCCCAGAAAATTTTATGTTTAACTTATTCAAATCAGTATTGCCTTTCTCTGAAATACTTAAAAGCTTAGAGAGTTTATTGAATGTCTTTGGAAGCTTATTCTGTTTCCTTTGTACCAAAATGATGCTGAAAAGGGTTGTTTGCCTCATGAATGTGGAAAAGATAGTAAGGGTAAGGAGCCATTTTTTTCTTTTATCTCCTATATCAGATGTGTCTTAGTGAGCCAAGAGAATATAAGCAATTAATATAAAACAGCATATATGTCTTACAAGTGCATATATGTCTTACAAGTACATACTGTAGTAGTTTCCTTGAATCCTATTTGTCATTTACCTTTTTTCATAAGTGGGTACTTGTAATAAAGAATAGATTTGTCTCTAGTTGAATGCAAGAGTAATATTTTATCTTTAAAAGATTTATTTTTTAGCACATAAAATTTCTCCTAACCTTTTACCCATTCCTAAAATTGTTAACAAATAAAATTTCAAGCTTGGTGACCTTTTAGACCTTTATGAAGTAATTTTACTTTTTAAAGTTACATTTATATCAATAGTTTTATCTTTTTGAAAAGAACCTTAGAAAGTACTGGTTTCACTCACATCTCTAAATTTAAAACACCTTATATAGAAGCCTTTCTTTTAAGCTTCCCTAATTAACCAGATTTTTTTTTTTTTTTTTTGCGGTTCGCGGGCCTTTCACTGTTGTGGCCTCTCCCGTTGGCGGAGCACAGGCTCCGGACGCGCAGGCCCAGGGGCCGTGGCTCACAGGCCCAGCCACTCCACGGTATGTGGGATCTTCCCGGACCGGGGCACGAACCCGTGTCCCCTGCATCGGCAGGCGGACTCTCAACCACTGCGCCACCAGGGAAGCCCCCCAGATTTTTTTTTTAACAAAGAAAGCTTATCTGAACTCATGAGAATATCAGTCAGCCTGTCTCGGGGAAGTCATTCAGCCTGTCTCTAATGAAGAGATGGTAGGATGTTTTCCTGAAACACAGTTGGTTCTCAAGAACTGAACTTTGAAAGTTCCCATTAGAGAAGGTGACTGGGTGCTGAGTGACAGTTCCCAAATGTTCCCAAGTTATTTTAACATGAAAAACTAGAGCCTTTGTTTTCAAAAACTTCTATGTCTTTAGTATTACATTATTTCATTTTTTAAGAATACACCTGAACATTGAAGAGAAGGTTGTTCTCTTGTTAAAAACAAACATGTTCTTTGGGTGTCTAAGTGGAGATAAGCTTGGGCTACTTAAAGGTAAACCAATAATTGGTATATTCCACAGTTACTATTTCTGTTACGGGAAGATAAGATCAATAAAAGCAAACACATGTCAAGTCTATAAATACCAGGAAATGGCTTTAGTTTCTAAAGGAACAGTTTCATAACGCCTTTGGTGAGAGGCTGGTTGTAGGTTCACTTGTTCTTTTCTTTAATTATTTCTTGCTTTTTCTATCCCTAATGTTTTTGGTAGATTTTTGCCATGTTTTGATTCTATCACATAGGAGAATACTGAACTAAAGTTTGAAAATCTACTTGTATCTCTGAAAGTCCAGTTTCTACTCAGGTTGATAGTAATAAGAGATAATACGTTTATGAGGCGAATGATTTTTTGCAAATCAGCTCTTTAGGTAACTGGCAAGAGGGTTACAAAATTTAACTTTCTAAGGCCTAAAAGTATTTCATTATGGATTCAATTCTTGATGTGAGATACTTACTTCATTTTTTCTACATGCATGTTGTCTGAAATGTCACATATATCCAGTGAATCCATTTTCATTACCTCATTACCTTTTTCTTCTTTCTGTTGTTTTTGATAGCCGGGTTTCCCTTATCCATCCCCTCATCATCACTCCGGTCTGATCTCCTCTCCGATCAACTTTGAGCACATCTATCACATGACTGTTAATTCTGCTGAAAAATTTCTCTCTCCTGAGTCCATAAACCCTGAATATTCCCCGTCTCTACGCTCTGTCCCCGGTACACCAAGCTTTATGACTCCGAGGGTATGAACAGCTGAGTTAGGTGTTAACTTGTACTAACCATGTGCGGATCTCTGCCTGGCTTCATAAGTAACACCGCCAACGGGGTACATTTTGTGAACGTTTCCCTTTGGCCTGTTTCTCTGTTGCCAAACTTCTATTCTTCCTCTTCCTCCTCTTCTGTCTTGGAGTTCTACTTTTTTATTCTTTTGAGGAAAAAGATGAGGATTTGGGAAGATTTCAGTTTTATTTCTAAAACAGTATTGGAGGTTTTTCTATTTTTTAATAAAACATCATCCCATCATGATATTTTTCATTACAGATACCATAAGAAATAGCCCCTGAGTAAGTCTATTCTATTAAAAAGAAACAAAAAAGGGATGTAGAATTTCTGAATTCTGTATTGCTCGTTACCCTAAAACCAGTTCAGTTCAGAGAAATGTTTTATGTTTAGTGAAGTTAAAGTCTATAGAAGGGCCTGTCCAAAGGCCTTTTATCTGCAATAAACCCCTTCTTGAAAAGCTCACAATTCTCAAAATTATAAAGTATAATAGTACCAGTGAATAACAGGAAAAATTACCAAAAGAAGGTAGTCTTACTAATCTTTGAGTTTCTGATGCACCTTTAATTCCAGCCAGGATCCAAGATAAGAGAAGTAAATCAACAAGAGAATAAAACACAGAGTGTGCTGCATTCTGAAGGACCATGGTACCTGCCACTGGGTCCTTCCACGGAGCCTTGCATCTTTGTAACTAGTGTCTCTGCAGTGGGCTGGAGAGCAAGTGGCCATTCAAGCTGAATATCCACACATCTGTCAAGAAATATGTACTGACTTTAAGGGAGCATTTTCTCAAGTTTGTTTTGCAGATAATAAAATATTTAGATTGTATCATGCAAACGCATTTCCTCTGGCTTAGGAAAAAAAAATAGCATCCATTTTTTATTTGTGTATTTAGTAAAGTAATTTTCCAATAAGAAAACTACCTGTAGGGTGAGAAGTTTATTTTTGTATTTTTGTTTGCATTCTAAATTGTGATGTTTTAAATGTCATTGTTATTGACATTAAACTATAATGTCATTTAAGTGTCTTATTTCACAAGGTAAGATTACTTATGATAAACTAAGCTTCAATTTGCTTGGTAACAGATTTCAGGGAGTGGATTCTAGGGGAAGTTGTGTAAACTAATCAGTCAAGAATTTTTGATATAAAAGATGGTGGAAATGTTGCTTAAGTTAGTCTTCTATAAATAGAAACACTACGGATTGGTGGAAGTTTTACCCTAATCTTAAGCACACCTAAGCATCAGCTTAGCTTTCACATTACTTCATAATGAAGTTGAACTTCAGCTGAATGAATGATAAAGTGTTGGGTTTGGGTTTTGTGTGGGTTTTTTTTTCCCCAGAACATATCTTCTGTGTATCATTCTTTTATTACCTCAACATTCAGTGTTACTAAACCACTGGTATTTTTACAGGCTTAATTTTTGCCATTTTTTCTAGGGTAGGTTTGTTTTATAGAAAAGGACGACACAAAGGTACCTTAAGGTTAATAACAAAAACAATAAAAATTTAAAGGTTTAAACTGATATCCCCATCTCTCTTGAACTTGACTCTGCTGCATTGTATGCATGTCATCGGCATCTCTCAGGGTTGCTCCTGTGAGTGGCTGTTGAAATGCTAGCACTGTTTTCTGTTTTAAATTTTTTTATTTTCTTAGAGAAAAAAAGGTAAAATGTTTGCTTTAAACAAATAACACAGTAAGAATTACATGGACTTTGCAAATTTGATATATGAACCAAAATGGCAATAGTTGAATTTAGAGCCACCCAGCCAGTCAAATCTCAATATGTGTGATTCTTTAAAATGTATGATTTGGAGTTTTTCAAGATATATTAGTGCATGTTTTCCAAGAGATGTTAGTGGATGTTTCCAAGAGATGTTAGTGGATGTTTGCTAGCTTTGGCCCTGCATTAGTTGTGTTGCCATAACCTTCTCTCAGCCCTGACACCCCTTCTGGTCTGAAAAGGTTAGGGCCATCAAGGAGACCGTGTTCAGACAGCTGGTCCTACGCACCACCTCTCTAGGTGTGTGTGACTTTCAAAGCACTCTGTGGCTCATTTTCCTCCCTTGGACACAAAATTATTCAATATTAGATGGGAAACTTCTCACACCAACATTCCCAAGTTAAATGACTACACCCAGGCTGTGATTGTTAACAAGCATCATAGTTATGACTCGTGGTGCTACTCTCTGTCTGTGAGGCAGGAAGGCTGCCTGGTGACTGGGATGGTAACATGCCTGGTACACTTTCAGTATCAGGACAATAGAAGGTGTACTTGAGAAGAATGTACTTTTAAGTGACTTTCTTCTAAATGGGCTTATTCAGCTTTTGAATTATCCTAAGAAAATAAAAATCTCATACGTGTTAAAAGCTTTGTTTCAGTTAGCTGCAGAGGTCCATGTAATTCTACATTTCACTGTCACTTCTAACCATGTAACTTTCACTTACTGCACTCACAACAACAAGAAAAAAATTGTTACCTGTTGGTAAGTATTTCAGTAAGTATAAAGATAAGCACTTATCTTTGGGGTGAGGGTTACTAACCTCTGTTAGGGCTTTAGTACTTTTGTGGGCGGGAGGGATTATTCTGTTTCTTGTCCTGTATCACTCTGGTCAAGACAACTTTATTTCTTGAAATTAGGGTGAAAAATAGACATCTCTGTAGAAAATCAGTTTTACTCTGGATGAAGAATTTTTCTTTCTCTTTTGATTTTAGAACCCTCGGCCTCAGGAAAGTCGGACAGCATTCAGTGGCTCGGTCAGTATTCCATCTATCACCAAATCCCGCCCTGAACCTGGTCGCTCCATGAGTGCCAGCAGTGGCCTGTCAGCAAGTAAGTAGCCCCAGCTGCAGGAAGCATTTCCATAGCAAGGTAGCAGCCGTGCATTATCGGTGGCCAGTATCTCAGACCTGGCTGGGTAATGCCTGCCTAGTAGGCACAAGTGCAGCTGTTACGAAAATAGTCATAGAATCCTTTTAGAAGTTACAGTTCATGTGGGAGACAGACAAACAGTACTACAAATTGTGATGATAAATGCTCCGAAGGAGGGCTTCCCTGGTGGTGCAGCGGTTGAGAGTCCGCCTGCCAATGTAGAGGACATGGGTTTGTTTCCCGGTCCGGGAAGCCCCCACATGCCGCGGAGCGGCTGGGCCCGTGAGCCATGGCCGCTGAGCCTGCGCGTCCGGAGCCTGTGTTCCGCAATGGGAGAGGCCACAACAGTGAGAGGCC